CCCCAGACGCCACTCACCAAAGTAGGATGCAGAACATTTTCTTAATAAACTTTGTTATGCCAACTGACCTACATGTCCCCTGAAACCATGGTCCCCAGACCCCTGTCCCTGCTACTCTGTCCCTTGAAGTGTTTGGTTGTATTCAGGAAACTTCTTAGCTTTTGGTTTAGTCTGCATTTCCTCTTTTCTTACTTAAGTTGGAGCCAGTGTGTACTGCATAGAATCAAACAGTGTGTGTTGCTCGAAATCAAAGAACCCTAATCCACACACTTTATAAGACTCAGTTTTCTCCTCTGTAAAATGGGGGAAATTAATGACTACTCCTTGAGATATTGCAAGAAATAATGCTTATAATCTGCTTAGCATTGCACCTGAAAGATAAAAAAAATACTAACAAAAACCTTAGCTATTGTGGACCTTCACTATTATTTTTGATTGGAAGGAAAACTATGGAGTTTTCTTTATCCAAATAGTTATTAAAAGATCTGCTTCCAGTGACTTACAAGCAAATATTTTATAACTGCCTAACTACTGACTTTTTCCCAGAAGTGAAAATTGTTACAAACACAAAATCTGCTTCTGAGGATCTGCAGTTCTAAGAAAATGCCACCAGGGAGAGATTTGTAAGGCAAGGGAAAGCAATGAAATAAGGAACTGAGAGTCAGAAGTTGGTGCATCTGATGGTAAAAACCAAAATCAAACTTGTTGCCATCGAGTTGATTTCAACTCACAGTAACCCTATAGGACAGAGTAGAACTACCCCACAGGGTTTCCAAGGCTGTAAATCTTTACAGAAGCCGACTGCCACATCTTTCTCCTGCTGAGCGGCTGGTGGGTTCGAACTGCCAACCTTTTGGTTAGCAGTCGAGTGCTTAACCACTGTGCCACCAAAACCCATTGCTGCTGAGTCGATTCCGACTCATAGCAACCCTACATGACAGAGTAGAACCGCCCCACAGGGTTTCTAAGGAGTGGCTGATGGATTCGAACTGCCAACCACTGTGCCATCAGGGCTCCACTGTGCCACCAGGGATCCCCATGTGATGGTAGGCCGTGATATTTATTAACAGGAGCCATCACCTATTTCTTGCCAGTATGGAGTATCTGAAATAACCACAACTTCAAAATGTGTTATACTTTTCAGTCACTTTGTTTATGTTTGCAATTTAGCAAATTCACTCCTCTCAAGTTCCCCACAAGCTCTGTAAACTCTATGTGTATGATTTCAAGGGCATGCTGTATTTATAAAATTATGATGTAGCATAGAGACCTAAACAGCTTAAATAAAAGATGAAGTATCTTATTAAACTCTTATTGTTGTTTACAAGAAGGAAATAAATCTGACAACAAAGATTCTACAATTGTATAGTATCTTTCCCCCAAAGAAGTTAAAAGCTCATTACAGAGATTAGAATTACCAGAAGCAAATTAGAAACATTACACATAGGAAATAAAATGTGAAATTACCCACTATTCATCTTACACAGCATATCCCCTAAGAAATCACTTCTATTAGTGTTACAGTTTGGATGTTACTGTTGTTGTTAGGTGCCGTCCAGTGGGTTTCTACTCATTAAAAAAAAAAAAACCACTGCCATTGAGTTGATTCTGAGCGACCCTATAGGACAGAGTAGAACTGACCCATAGGGTTTCCAAGGAGCACCTGGTAGATTCAAACTGCCGACCTTTTGGTTAGCAGCCGTAGCTCTTAACCACTGCACCACCACGGTTTCTGTCCTATATACAACAGAACGAAACATTGAGCCCAGTCCTACACTATTCTCACAATCATTGCTGTGATTGAGCTCATCACTGGAGCCACTGTATCAATCCAGCTTGAATGTTAAACAGGAATAAATGTCAACCAACAGTTTTATTTTATTGCTTGCTGATGTACCAAATGTTTTCTTACATAACTGAATTAAAATGAAAGTTTTGGGGTTGCTCTAGAAAAAGGACTATGAAGGTTGGTTTTCTAGACTCAGGAATACCAAACTTCTATGAATAGATTGTATATTTGCTGGTTATTCATAATTAGTCTTCAGAAGTTGGCCCTCATGCACATTGTTGCATTCACAGATTTCCAAGGTAAAATATCTAAGACAGTTCAGTACAATCAGCTTTCCACGCTGAGTGAAGGGGAAAGGGTTATCAATTAATCGCGGGCAACACAGTTTTTACTCTCTTTCAAGCAGGTTCTTTGGAAAGAGAGGCAAGCGCCTTACCATGCAACAGATGATTTCGATTCCGGGAACAGAGAACAGTTAGAAATTTCGTCTCATCTGTCCCCCATTTCTTCTCTCCAGCCTCGTACAGGTCCTGAAGCCAAACAAAGTACAAGGTTAAAATACCACGGAGGATGTGCCAAGACACAGGCAAATATTTCCAGAATGTCAAAGAGCTGAGTTGGCTTAGTTTTGTTTTGTTGGTGATGGGGTGGAAGTAGTGTTGGTAATGAGTGACAATGACTCAGGATTTTCCCTGAGGCACAAGACTAAACCAAAATAAACAAGCCCGTTGTCATCGAGTAGATGCCGACTCATAGTGACCATGAAGTACAGAGTAGAACTGCTGCATAGGATTTCCAAGGAGCACCTGGTGGATTTGAACTGCCAACCTTTTGGTTAGCAGCCATAGCTCTTAACCACTATACCAACAGGGTTTCCACAAGATTAAGGGACCCTATAACATGTCCCTCAGAGTCAGGGTGAACACCAGCAGCTCCCTAGATGCAGACTACATGGTCTATCTCAAGAGCTAAAAGGAATACCTTAGACTTGGGCTGTCCCATGCAGCAGCCACCAACCACATGTGGCTATTTAAGTTTTAATTTAATTTACTTTAATGTGGATAAAAAATCAACTTTCAATCAGTCACAGAATGACACTTCTGTAAAACACCATAAAAATGTCCTTGAAAAGAGCAATCTTTTTAATAATGGGTGGAAATGGTATCTTTTTGTGTTAATCTGGTTTTTTCGAATAACTAGTGAGGTTGGCCATTTTTTATGTGCCACTTCTATTTTTTCTTTTCCGAGTTGCCTGTTAATGCCCATTGTCTTTTGTTTAAAAAAAACTGGAGTATTCTTATTCTTCTTTATTTATAAAGCCTCTTTATATATTATGTTTTTATACATAAGGTGAAACTTTCTCCATTTTATCATTTGACCTTTAAATTGTTTATGTTTAAACAATTTGTATATTTTTTATGTACAAAACTGGCAATCATTTTCCTTTGTGGTTTCTGCCTTTTGTGTCCTGCATACAAAGTCCTTTCCTGGCCCAAGATTTAAATAAATATTTAACTATACTTTATTATAGTACATTTATGACTTCATTTAGTTACATTTAAATTTTCAGTCTATTTGGAATTCATTATGATACAAGGTAAAAAAAGTAGCGATCTAACTTTATTCTTTCCCAAATGGTTAGCCAACTGTCCCAACTCCACTGAGTAAGTCATCTGTCCCCTCACCCCCTGCCCACCCAAAGGTTTGAAATGCTACCTGTATATTCTCACATACACTTGATTCTGCCTCTACACTTTCTAGTCATTCCATTGATTCCTCTCTATTCTTGCACCAGGACCACATGCTTTAAATTATTTCACCTTTGTTATACATTTAAATATAAATTAGGGCAAGTTTGTCCATAACCTTCTGGTTGTCATGATTCTAATCTCCACTGTCTCTCCTCTACATTCCTCCTCCTCTGTCATCTCTGTCCTTTTCTTCTGAATTCTGGAGATTGTTCAACATTGCTTTCTACAACAATGATTCTGTTTTCTGCAAGGTCATTTTGGATCATTCCTGCTTCTAAAAGACCTTAAAATTTTGTTTGTCTTTGTTTCATTTAAGGGCATTTGTCTCCAACACATCGAGCTCTCTTTTTTTATTTCTCCTTGACCGTTTTCATCTCTATTGCTTTCTCATTGCATCTTTCTTAGCTCTTACTTAATTAAAACCAGTTTTTCTATCATTTAGGGTCCAAAGATATTTGAATCTGTGTGTGTTCCCTGCAGTGTGGGCTATGTTCGCCCCCTTTATGCCTCAGTTTTTTCACAGTGTTTTGAGTTGAGGATTTGTTGATTTTCATGCATATTCATCCCTAAATGATAAACGGTCTATCCAGACCCTGGTTTTCCTCAGAACAAGTGAGTGGATTCTTCCTGGATCTCCTCCTTTTTCATTTGGATCAATTCTAAGCAGGAGCACTTGCTGCTGGTTCAATCCTACACGGCAATCTGTTCTTCCCTGCATCATCTATAGTGGTTCATACTTCACATGCTGAATGGGACTACCCTTCCTTATGTTTGTATACTGGTTAAGAATACAGGGTCTAGATCCATATGTCTGGGTTCAAATCCCAGTTCTGCATTTATTATCTGTGTTCTCTGAGTAGTTTCTTCCTATTTACATGAAGCCACTGTGCCTGCTTTTAGCTAGGAGTGCTCAGCCACCTTCTGGGGATAGAGAAGAACTGCCCCACAGGGCTTCTAAGGCTGTAATATGTATGGAAGCAGACTGCCACACCTTTCTCCAGCAGAAATTCTGTACACTACCTGTTATTTTAGTGCAAGTGTCATCCTAAGAATAGATAAAATTGGACTTATTAGATTACAGCCTCTCTATGTTTTAAAATCTCTGTCTTTTATAAGAAATTGCTACCTAATGCCACCTGCCCTGATTAGTCATTTCATGTCAAATTCATTCACTTTCCTAGATCAAAACCCAGCTTTCATACCCAAACATTGGGAATACTCCCGTTGCTGCTAATGCAAGTTAAAGAGCAAAGAATGATAAGATTTTCCCACTGGCCTACCCTGGAGGAGCTTAAATCTTGGATGGAGTGGTTCTGAAATTTTCTGCCTCTTGGGTGAGAGTTGGAAGATCCAGAAAAACCCTATTCTGAGTTTTACTGTCCAGCTTCCCCAGCCGAAACTTGTTTGGAAGCACCTTTTCACCTGGTTACTTCCCAAGGAAAACTTGTTCCTTAACCACCAGCCCCCCCCACAAAAAAAAACAACCCCAAACCCTTTGCCATTGAGTCAATTCCAACTCATAACAGCCCTACAGGACAGAGTAGAGCTACCCCACAGGGCTTTGAAGAAGCGGCTGGTGGATTCAAACTGCCAACCTTTTGGTGAGCAGCCAAGTTCTTAACCACTATGCCACCAGGGCTCCTTGCTCCTTAAAGAGCCCCAAAATACTTGTTGGTTGACTGCATGATTTTTAAAAATCAGATAGACCTGGATTCAAAGATCCCAGTTCTTCCAGCTACAAGGTCTTGGCCAAGTTATTTAAATCTGTCCGTCAGTTTCCTAATCTATAAAACAGGAGTGATAATTTCTACTTCACAGATTTGTTATAAGGAATAAATGAGATGATCTATATAAAATATTAATACAATGCCTGGCACACAGTAAACCCATACCCCGCACCACACCCCCCGCCCAAAAAAAAGAAAGTGAATATAATATTTCAGAGATAAGGTCCTCACTGTTCATTTAATGTGGGATTCACCTGGGCTACAGAGGTTCTTTCCAGCATACCCAGTAATGCTTTTCTTGAGGTAGCTAAAATTCACATAAGCATCTGAGAGTTCCAATATTTTCAATACCTTCTCCTGCTTCAAGCGTTTCAGATTGAAGGCAACTTCCTGTCTCTCCTGTACGGGATGGGACTCCCTGAGTCCTCAGAACTCTTACTACACACACACCCGTCTGCCTTCTAATGAAAGCAAAAGGTTCTTTCCTGCATAATCCATAACGGTTCATACTTCACATACCAAATGGGACCAGCCCTTCCCTATGTTTGTATGCTGGTTAATAATACAGGGTCTAGATCCAAATTGCTTGAGTTCAAATCCCAGTTCCGCCATTCATTATTATCTGTGTGAACTTGAGCAAGGGACTTGACTTCTCTGAGCCTCTGTAAAATGGGGATAGAAACATTTACCGCAGAGGGTTATTGCAAGGATTCAATGACATAATTCACATAAAGAGCTTAGAACAGTGTTTGGTGCCTGGTAAGCGCCATCTTTTATTAGCTATTATTATTAGTGTTACCTGGCTACAGCTGATTAGGCCAGGGACTGGTGCCAGAGTAACCATCAATGGGCTGGGTATCAAAAAAGCAACTGTCTCTTGGGGTTTGATATTAATTTTACCCAACCATGCCAAGCTATTTTGTGCAGGTCCCATCAAATGTTCTCTTTGGGAAGTAAAAATACAAGGTGAACAGGCAGAGAAAGGTCTCAACACCTCCAAGTGATTCTGAATAAACTCCATGGTTCTCTGGGGTGGACACACCACGGTCCCAGTGTAGAGAAACTTGGAACCCAGCAGTGCTTTTACAACTCATGAAGTGATGTCCAGTGCCACCGCTCCACCCCAGGAATCTCTGCAAAAAACCTCTATCATAAAGATCATCTGTAGGAATATTTTTTTCTGTAACATATGCCAGTCTGATCAATACATACACACTGAAATTTAAGAGGGCAAAGAGAAGAAAACCAGAGGGAAGAAGCTGCAATTCTACCAACCTGGGCATCTTGTTTCATGAGATTATCATCCAGATAATTTCCTTCATCCCTGCCACCCTGAGGACGAGAAAAACAAACCAACGAGAATGAGAGTGTATCCAGGAAGATTTGGGGGGTACTGATGGTGTAGTGGTTAAGTGCTACAGCTGCTAACCAAAAGGCTGGCAGTTTGAATCCACCAGGTGCTCCTTGGAAACTCTACGGGGCAGTTCTACTCTGTCCTGTAGGGTCACTATGAGTCAGAATCGACTCGATGGCAATGAGTTTTTTTTTCGGGGTTGAGATAGAATGTCTGGGAGCCCCAAGGACATGATAATCAGACAGAATGCCTCAAAAGGGCTGGGCTTCAGATGTCCTCTGAATGTGCTCGCACTACTACCACGGCTCTGACCTGCTCCTGGGGAACATCACCCACCAGAGGGCCAGGCATATGCTCCCTGACCGCTGCATGCAGGAGGGGAAGCAGAAGGAATGCTGCCTACTGACCACTCCCTCCATGACGACCCCTACCCTGACCCCACTCCTGTTGTCTTTCCAGCTGACTCATGCCTTCTTCACTGGCAAA